CTCTCTACAAATAAATAAATAAAATCTTTAAAAAAATAAAATCATAAAAAACATAATAGTAAATGCATGTTTTGCTATTATTACAAGCCAATATAATATAAGATGATATCTTTCAATAACATGTTAAAATGACCTCTATTTTACAAAGACATCTGATAACACAGATCATTAAAAATGAGAGACATTAACGCAAAGTAAAGGCCAAATAAAAATTATTTAAAAAATGGATCGATAATACCACAAATGTTTATTATTTAAGTTATTCTTTTTTTCAAACAAATTGAATTTATTTTATTTTTATTTATTTTTAGAGAGGGGAAGGGAGGGAGGAAGAGGGAAAGAAACATCAATGTACAGTTGCCTCTCATGCGCCCCCTACTGGGGACCTGGCCCACAACCCAGGCATGTGCCCTGGCTGGGAATCAAACCCATGGCCCTTTGGTTCGCAGGCCTGCACTCAATCCACTGAGCCACACCAGCCAGGACTTAAAAGTTACTCTTAAAAATGAAAATTTAAAACACAAAACATATTAATTGTCCTTGGTCTTTGTTTTTAGGATAAATATGTGAAACTTAGAAAAACGTACTTCATTTCGCACTGATGCTGGTTGAACTAAGCGCATGTCCAAACACATCCTCAGGTGGGCACGTGTTGCTTCCCGTAATCTTCCTTTTTTTTTCATTATGAAATATTTTGCTTTACAAAGAACTGTAGCTTATAGCAAACATTCAAACACTGGAAAATACTGGTGTCGACTTCCCACAAATGCATCAGGAGGCTTTGCTAAAAGTAAAAATGGCAAAGTTTTATTTAAGGGTCTTAGGATTTGTGAATCCGAAACACTACCAAGTGACACCAGAGGGATCCAAAGAAAAAAAGCTGAGAGTTGTCTTAAGCCAACAGCACATTCCTGAGTCTGTCTCGCATTCTTCACCTCTGGGAGCCTCCATGACGATGACCTTCCAGAGGACCGGTTGTCTGGGTGGTGCGTGTCCTGCCGTCTGGACGCGCAAACATTCTTTCCTGAGCACTTCTCCAGGAATTTATGTATGTCTTGGCACTGACGCACAACTGAGAAATGCAATGGTTTGAGTCCTCAGGCTAAAGTAAAGTAAAATCTATTCCTCCTGCTCCTGACCTTTTGGTCTAAACCAGTTTTGTCGGTTTCACAACACAGACTCCATTTTCGGTCAGCGTGGCTACAGTGAATTCATCTTGTTTTGTTCACTTGTTCCTCGCCAGCTATCGTGATTGGATAGGATGGGAGTAGCATGCCAAAATCGCCTATTTAGGGACTTCTTTTGCTTCCCAAACATATTATTTCTTGAAACACCACTCATAGGATTTGAATTAAGCATATTCATACTGTTTGAAACTTACAAATAATCATTGTATGTGCAAGAATGGCTCACCATTAAGCAGCAGACAAGGCCACAAACCCACTTACAACATGGCAACAGCCCTGACCGGCATGGCTCACCTGGTTGAGCATCGTCTCACAGAGTGAAAGGTTGCCAGTTCAGTTCCCAGTCAAGGCACAGGCCTGGGCTGCAGGCTGGTCCCCAGCTGGGGCACAAGCAAGAGGCAACCTATCGATGTTTCTCTCCCTCTCTTTCTCCCTCCCTTCGCCTCTCTCTAAAAATAAATAAATAAAATGTTTAAAAAAAACACAAAAACATGGCAAGAACTACAAACAATTCTTTCCTACATGCTCCTGTCCCAAGTCTGGGAAATATCGACCTTGACCTTTGACTCCACATGCCAGCATTTCCTGCTCTAGCTTCTGATACTTCGGTGGGTTCCTTCAAACTAGGGACATCTCTATGTTGATGGTGAGGCTTTAATTTTCACAGGAGAATAATCGTAGCTTTTCCTACTTCCAGAGGCGGGGGCCACACAGGCCAAGGGAGAAGAGGACTCCAAGGATTGAAGCGGCCAGCTGCGTCAGTAAGGTGTGGGCCGAGGAGGCGCTGTGGACTGAGAGGAGGTCAATGGCACGCCCCTCCCAGGAGAACATTCTGCTGGGACCTCTCTGCGCATTCTGCATGGAGAGCCGAGGGCTGGGGCGCCAGTGGGCTCCAGCTGTTCTGGAACCTGCTCAGACTCTTGAGAGACTTGGGGCGTCGGGGTGCTGCCCTGGCAGAGTCTCTCCCTGCGCCTCCCGCCCTTGGCTCTCCCCACTCACTCTCTGTTTCAGTTCCTTCACAGCATCTCTCACCTTTACTGTTATCTGGTTTAGTTACTTGTTTCGTATCTGTCCCCTCCGCCTCTCCCCAGAGCAATGCCAGCTCTGGAAGAGCAAGGGTCCCCTCTGTCTTACTCCCAGTGCCTTCCACAGGGTCCACACAGCGTCAGTTTCCCATGAATGTTTATTGACTGAGTGCACAACTGAATGGGTAGAGCAGGCAAGTGCAGGAGGATTTCCGGAGTCTCCTCTCCGGAATTCCATCTCCTCATTTGTCAAAAGGGGCCAGAACTCCCCTCTAGCCCTTTTTTTAACTCAGCGTTGTCTGCCCCAGACGGTATCCATGTTCTTTTTGGATGCAACACTGATGGTGACAAGTAAGGTAGCAGCAAGACACTAGAATTGAACAATGACACAGCCTGGGTCACTGGGATCACAGAACACCTGAAGTTCATTGTCCCAAAAGCCGAGCTTGTTTATTTTCACCATTTGAAATGCAAGACTTTCTTAAACACAGTGCCCATGGCCCCGCTGCCCAGAAAGGAGAACAATGAACTGACGTTTGAGTTTGAATTCCTGCTCCGCCTCTTACTGGCTTCGTGACCCAGGGCAATTCACTTTTATGAGTGGAGGTCATCAGGATCTCCCCTGGGTGATTATGAGGATCCAGCAGATAAAGAATGTGGAAGGACAGCTTGTGGGGTCAAGAAAAGGCCTTGAGGACTGCAGGGAGCTCAGAGCCTTGGTGGGGGCAGCCGCAGGTGGAGCCTGCATGGGCAGAGACCCAGGCGCTCCTCACTGGAAGCAGCCTCCTCCTCCCTCGGCTCTCCCCGCCCACCCCCACCCACTCTGCACCTGCACCCAGCAGCTGAACGTTGGGCAGACTCAGGCTAAACTGACACTGCAAACCTCAAGAGGGCACCTGGGCTGCCAATGGGACCCCATTTCCATGGTCCGTTCAGTCTCCCACCCTTGTGATTTTCCCTCAGGGGAACTAGCCTCTCCTCAAAACTCCAAGAACACCTCCTGCCTCCTTCCGCTCGGCCCTCTTTCTTATTCCACCGAGAAGAGAAACGACTGGGAGAGGACCCCACATTCTCCCACCAGCCTGTGCCTCCGCCCCCCACCATGCCTGCAGCCATTATCCCAGCTCCCATCTGTGGCACGCCCTCCCCTCGATCACAGGACATGGACCTTCCCACCCACCCAAGGATTTTTCTCTTGGGACTCTCTCCTATCTGCATCATAATGATTTCCACTGTTACTCAGTCCCCTGATCTACAAACAAGACCTAATATTTCTCCTCTTAAACCCCAGTGACCCTACAGGAGCATCTTCCCCCCGTCTCGTTTCCTGTTCCCCCCACCGCGCAGCTCCCTGGAAGAGGAGCCCACACTCCCCCCCCACTCCCGCTCCTCCCCACCGTCCTCTCCGGACCCCACTCCCAGCAGCCCTCCTCCGCAATGAAGCCCCGGGGGGAAGGTCACCAGTGGCCGCCATTTTCCCAGCTCTGCTCTCGGCCTTGAATACACACACACACACACACACATGGCTGAAGGTTCCCTCCTCCCTGAAACATTTCTTCTCTCTGTTTCTGTGAGTTGTATCATCTCTATAGACTCTCACTTCCTGGCTGGGTTGGGCTGGGCAGCCCTGGAAACGTGATGTCCAACCAGTGTGATGACCCTCACCTTCACACCTCCCTCCCACGTTCACACCTCCCTCCCATGTTCATACATCTCTCCCGTGTTCATAACTGTCTCCCATGATCATATTTCTCCCCCATGTTCATGCCTCTCTCCCATGTTCGTATCTAACATTTGCCCTGGAACCAGCAGTTCACATCTGACTCCAGCTGGCAGTCAAACAGGCTTGTCAAACCTGCCTCGTCCAAATTGAGCTCTTGATTTGAACCCACTAACCTGCTCTCCCCCACAGCGTCCCCATTTGTGGGCTGCTCTGACCGAAAGCCCCGGAGTCTTTCCCAACTCCTCTCTGCCCATACCCCACAACCACCCCCTCAGCAAATTCATTTGACTCGATCTTTATAGCCTTTCTTGAGCCTCAACCTTCTTACCACCCGCATGGTGACCACCCAGCATTTCCGGGGGCTGGCAGGAGCCCCTCAAGTTCTCTGTGCATCCTCTCACTCATTCACCTGTTCAAACCCTTTCAGACCTTCCCTCTCCCTCAGAAGAGTCAAAGCCCTGACTCGCCGGGAGACCTGAGAACATCAGCCCCTGGACCCCTTCTTCCTCATCTGCAATACCTCCTCTCACTCACCCTGCTCACCCACGTGGTGGTCCCCCTGCATTTTTGGAAACACTCTCCATCCCTGACCATTGGACCTGCCCTGTCCGATGCTGGAGCTCTGACTCGGCTAACCACACAGCTCCCCTCTGGTCTCTGTTCACCCCCCAAGTTCTCAGGGAGGACTCCCTGCCTCTACCAAAAATAGCACCATCCTTTTTTCTTTCCTATCCCCTTGCCGAGTTTTCGTTTTTCTTCACAACACATGTTGCTTTCACTTTTCTCTTATCACTTATGTTTGTGTCTGCTCTGATTTTCACTACTGGAAGTTAAGCTCCATGAGTGTGGCTTCTGCACACCTTACTCATCACGTGTCACCTTGCCTAGAATAATGCCATCCCGGACTAGACTCTCACATCTGACTGGATGAATGGAAGGAAGGTTGAATGAATGGATCAAGCAATAGATCGGTGGATGGGTGGATGGATGGATGGATATTGAAAAATTCTACAGGATAGCACCCACAGAGCAGAACAAAACACTCCAACAACTCATGCGTGTGAATATAACTTTATGTTTACCTAAAGCCCACTCATATTTGTGCTTCCAGAGACCTCCGAGGGGGCAAGAGTGGTTGTTGTTTCCACCCCGAAGTTTCTGCATCCGGGAGCAAAGGAACGAGTAACACAGGGTCAGAAGGCTGGCTGAGCCCTCTGGCTTCCTTATGGGGCATCTGCAGCCCATCCCTTCTCGGGTGTCCATGGAGAGAAATCTCTTTGGCATGAGGATGCTGGAAAACATCTCCGATCGTGGCTGAGTTGTGGAGGCAGCATTCAGATTGGGGGAGCTGGCTGGTGGATGACGGGGACCATTTACAGAAGGGGAGAATCGGACAAGTCAAATCAGGTGAAGCTTGAGAAGGACTCGGGATGCAGGAGGTGAGTGGCCTTGGCCTCTGAGGCCCACTCCACCTCTGCTCGCTACAGAAACGTGACTGGTTGTACTGCTGTGTCCCTACACTCTGCCAGTGTCCTTGCCTGTAAAACACATCCTCTTATTTCAGCTCAGAATTTCCCAAATATTGTTTCTGCAGTTTTCATGTCCTTGGGGGACACACAGTAGCATCTGACTTATTTGGGAGTTGGGTGTTTCTGCTCCTTGTCCTCCCATCTCCCACACTGGGGGTTTGTTAAGGCCAAGGCCAGCTCAGACACCCGCATGCCTGGCCCATTGGCTTTGTGGCCCAGATGTGACGTGTGCTCCCAGAGGATGCCCAGACCGTGGGGTCAGGGGGTGGTCTCCAAGCAGGAGGGGCCCAGGACCAGGTCAGCCTGGGGCAGGCAGGGCTCTGGACATGAGCATTTTTGTGATCTGACCGAATCCCCCCCACAATCTGCCAAGGTCATTCTCACACCACTGATGGAGACACTGAGGCTTTTGCCACACTGTCCGTTTGTGGCGGAGCCTGGATTTGCTCCAGGCCGGACCCCAAAGGCAGTGTTCTTACCACCAGAATGGGGACCTCTAGTTCACACAAACCTTTCTGGAATGACACAGGGGTCATTAACTGGATAAAAGGAAGGATGAAAAAAATTCAAGGTACTGGCCAAGGCAGGTTGCTTGGCACTCTGGGATATGGTCTTCGCAGCGCATGTGTCCTAATGAGACTGGTTTCTCAGCTCTCCCCCACCCCAGGGCCCGGGGGTAGGAGCAGGGAGGAAGGGAGGGGATGGCTGCCCTGAAGAGCTACCCTATGCTTCAGACCAACTTTGGGAGAAAAAAACATTTGAATCTGAAAAGTTGTCTCATCATTTCAGAAGCACCCAAACCTTTGCTCCCCATGTTACTCTTCCCAGCCCCCCACCCCCAGGCTTTCCCACACGGTCACACCGGAGCATCTGGAGCCAATCCGTTCCACCACGTCCCAGCTTCATTAAGGTGCTGTCTCCAGCAGGTTCCTGTGGAAAGGTTGTACCAGTAAAGGGGTGTTCTAGAGCCCTCCCCACAACCTCAGGGGATGAGCCCTATGGTGGCCGACAGGGGACCCTTGGGCAGAGGCTGTGAGGGAGTATGAGGCTGGTAGGGAAGGGACATCTGATGAGAGAAATGGGGAACAGCCACAAATGTCAGAGTAGAGCAGGGGTGTGGCCAAGAGCTGGGCATAGCTCTGCCTGCTCTGTGCACAGAAGAGCCTCTACTTCAGAGCTGTCAGGGCCACCCAGGTGGGCTGCCGTGGAGTTATCTGGGTGGTGGGTGTTCAGACACCTGAACTCGGGTGCCATGGCGTAGCAGATGGAGGCGGGCAGGAAGCCATTGAAGGTGGAGCTCATGACCCAAGTGTAGGCGCCCATGAAGGGGAAGATGAGCCAGTCACCCACGTCCAGCTCGGGCAGCTGCACCTCCTGCTTGAAGAGCTTGTCAAAGGCGTCGCACGTGGGGCCATAGAGGATGCAGGGGAAGAGGGGTGGATTCGAGCTGAGCTCCTGCAGGGACACGTGGATGGGTAACCAGAGAAGGGAGAGCTCCTCCCCCAAGCCCATCCTCCAAGCTCATGCCCTCGGCCAGCAGAGCCTCCCAAGGCATAAGGGGAAGGCACCAGCGAGGACACTGTCAGTCAGCCATCCCAGCAATTACTGAGCACTTCCCACGTGCCAGCCTCTATTCTTGACCCCTCCCTTATGGAGTTTATTCATGACCTTCCTTCGAGTAACGCATGCTAGCCTTGCCAATTTACATGGGCAGACAAGGATGTGGCCTCAGTTTCCCACCTACAAAATTGGAAGATTTTAGTCAATAATCACTCAAAACACTGGGCCTCAAACTCAGCTGCACACTGGAGCCACATTGGAAGAGTGCTAACAAAGAGAATGTGAGAATTGGCTGTCTGGGGCGTGGCCTAGGTTCAGGGTCTTTGAAAACTTCTCTATGAAGTGACGTTGGAGAATCTCTGTTTCCTGGGTCTTCTGCATCTCCAGCATCTGAGGATTCTGCTAAACCCCCCATGCAGAGTGGATCCAGAGAAATCACATGGGAGCCCAGAGGCAAACAGCTGACACGCACACCCACACATGACCATGTGCCTGTCCGCACACCCACCTGCACAGGTGTGAATCAGCATGCTCACACACAAAAGAGGTACACATGTGAATGCAAACAGGCACACTTACGCACACCCTTGTACAAGCACGCGATGTGACTGACCACCTGCAGAGCAATTTGTAAACGAAGACCCGGAGCCTTTGCACCTCACACAGGGATCCCTGCCTCGTGGGGAAGAGGGCTGAACTCAGTGCTCTCAGGGTCTGAGAGGTGCCAGAGCCATACAAGGACCCCCTTACCTTCACCACTATTGGTGTCCTGGGGACAGGCTCCCTGAGGCAGAGTCGGAAGATGCCATAGTGGCCGTCGTTGAGATAGTACAACAGTTTCCGGTGGCCTCCTGGGAGAGGGGAGAGGGCAGGGCCGAGGTGCGCTCAGTGAGGCCTCAACACTGACCATCAGCACTGAGCCCAGACCCCTTGGAAGCAGCATAGACACCCTCCCCAGCACTAGGTAACCTTTGAGCCCTGGTCCGGGAGCCTTTTCTGATCCTGTGCAAGGTTGGGGCCTGGTCCCTGGGCTCTCAGTGCCTCGCTGCCCCCCGCCCCGCCACCCCCCCCCCGGCTCCCGAAGGGGTTCTGCTGCTGCTGCTGCAGCTACTAATACAGCTAATACACCACGAACTACGGCCTGGGCGTTGTTCTGGCCTGGCTGCCTGTGTTAAATTATTTAATCCTCCGAACCACACTCTGAGCAAGGACAATGAACACCACTGTATCCCTGGGGAAAGTGAGTCTTGCCAGAGGTCACACAGGAGAATTAGGCAGGGTGGGAATTTGTCCCTGGTCAAGTCCCAGGTCCTCTGTCCTCACTTTAGACTGGGACCCTGAGCACCTTCTGTGTAAGGCAAAACCAGGGGGGAAATGCCTTTTTATGATGTATTTCCATTATGGGTGCTCCTTAGAGATGTGCTAATTCATCTTTTTTCCCCTCAAAGGGCTACCTGGTTACCCATATTGTTTGTTCTCTTTGTCTGGATGCTCTGGCAGCCGGGGCCTCGCTGACCCTGGACGTTCTGCTCCTCCCAGTAAAAGGCACGCCCACCTCCATAGGCACGCCAGCCGGTCTAGAGTCTGTTCCCGCCAACCACTTCCTTTACAGCGCTGTATAGAGTGAACCACTCTCACCGTCCGTGAATTACCCCAGGGCCAGGGACCAGGCAACCACGCGGTCCTCACAGCCCAGAACCCACCGCGATTGCTCAAACCAGCTGACCCCAAACCTGCCTATCTTGTTTTCCCTGCCTCACTCATTCCTTTCCCTGAACACACAGTGCAGCCTCTCACCTACCCAGCAACTCGTCCTGCCTCCGGGCCCACCCTGGCGCTTCCCCATGAGGCCTGAGTGCCATAACTCCCGTTCCCAAGGAAATCTTTTAAGGCAGTTGTTTCTGTGCCTGCCTGTCTCACGTCACCTGGGTCAAGCGAACCCACTGAACGCAATGCCCAACTCTAACCAGCAGCGCAGAGCACGGTTGTCAGCTCCTTCCTTCTAAATCCCTTGCCTCTGTGGACGCCGCCCCGGTGAGCGGGTGGAGGCTGCTCCTGCGCTCCATCACGCTTCTGAGGCACACGGAGCTGATGCTCGCCCACCACCCCAGGCCTTCAGACACGGATTGCTACCAAGGCAATTTCCAGACAACCACTCTTAGTCTGTCCTTAGAACATTGATTTCTTCCAGCCAAGACGGAGGCATAAGTAGATACACTTTGCTTCCTTCCACAACCAAAAGAAGGACAATAACAAATTAAAAAACAAGAAATAACCAGAACTGCCAGAAAATCAGAATGTATGGAAGTCTGATGTTTCTCTCCCTTTCTCCTTCCCCCCTTCCCCTCTAAAGATAAATAAATAAAATCTTTTTTTTAAAAAAAAAGGAAGGAGAGAATCTTAAAAGCAGCTAGAGAAAAGGAGAGAGTTATCTACAAAGGAGTTCCCATAAGAATATCAGTGGATTTCTCAAAAGAAACCTTATAGGCAAGAAGGAGCTGGAAAAAAGTATTCAAAGTCATGAAAGGCAAGGACCTACATCCAAGATGCCTCTATCCAGCAAAGCTTTCATTTAGAATGGAAGAGCAGAGAAAGTGCTTCCCAGATAAGGTCAAGTTGAAGGAGTTCATCATCACCAAGCCCTTAGTATATGAAATGTTAAAGGAACTTATCTAAGAAAAAGAAAATGATCAAAACTATGAACAGTAAAATGACAACAGACTCACAACTATCAACAACTGAACCTAAAAACAAAAACAAAGGAAATAACTAGAACGGGAACAGAATCACAGAAATGGAGATCACATGGAGGGTTATCAGTGGGGGAGGAGAGAGAATTGGGGAAAAGGTACAGGGAATAAGAAGCATAAATGGTAGATACAGAATAGACAGAGGGAGGTTAAGAATAGTACAGGAAACAGAGAAGCCAAAGAACTTCTATGTACGGCCCGTAAACATGAACCAAGGGGGTGGAATGCTGCTGGGAGGGGGGTGCAGGGCGGAGGGGGAGAAAAACCCGGCACAACCGTAACAGCATGATCGATAAAATACATTTAAAAGAAAGAAACTCCGAGTGGACGGAAGCTGCACCTCTGAGCAGCCCCCTGCTGCCGCGGGACGTGTTGGACGGAGGCCACCTGCGTCAGGTGACCCGCGTCCGGCCGTAGGAGCGTGCTCCTATTCCAGGAATGCAGACTGTTCAAGTGGTGGTTTTTTTTAGGAAACCAGGCAGAGACTTTGAAGGAAGTTAGAAAGGCTGAAGGGATTTGTAAGCCTGAAGCACCTCATCCCATTTTGATTTGGTGGGAACCAGTCTGAGCTGGTCTAAGCAATAAAATATATATTTTTAAAAAGCGTTGATTTCTTGGGCAGAGGTAGAAGAGGGTATAGGAGGGTAAACGGCAGTGAGGGGAAAATGAAATGAAATAAAGTAAAATAAAGACTATTGATTTCTTTTCAACCGATTTCGATGCCCACTGGGGGCACTTCATCACATTTGAACATTAGATGCCCAGACCGTTCTGAATCTTTATTTTCTCTCCTTAGGTCTCCCCCCAAAATCTTCTCCCTGGTGTTGGTCACCCCCGTCCTCAGCTCTCTCAGCTGCTGTCACTGGTCCTGCCTCTCGCACCTGCGGCCCCCGTTGTCCCTCAGCCACTTGGTCATGGGAGTTAGTCATGCCTGCCCTGAGGCCGGGAGCTCAGCTCCACTTGGCACGTCCGCAGGTACAAGGGCACCAGCCTTGCCGTTGGACAGGCCTCCACTCAGCTGTCCCACTCAGCTGTGCCACGAACTGGCGCCGCCGTGGTGGACAAGTCACTTCCTCCCGAGTGTCAAAATCCCCACCTGTGAAGCCAGAACGACCCAGACCACCTCCAGGATTGCTGAGCGCAGAGGCAGTAAAATAGTAATTTCTCACCTAATAGATCCTTCATCATAGGCAGCTCTTGCTAGTATGAAAATAAAAACGACAAGGCCCAAAAACCTATAAATTAGACTTTTGTTGACTGATGGCTGAAATCATATGCCTCACATCAGAGTTTTCTCCAGTGACACACTTTGTGAGGGAGCGAAGTTAGTGAACCCATGTGCCTGCAGGATTAGAAGGTATGGGGCAGACGCTTGTTACAAGGATAAGGAAGCAGATCGAAAGGATTCAGAAATCCTTACATGTCAGTTATCGGAAAGCTTCAAAGAGTAAAGAGCACTGGCCCAGAGGGCGGGGCTCTCCACGTTTTCCGACTCACCGTGAGCCCGAGCCCAAGTTTCTGGTTGGCTACCACAGCCCCTTCCCCACACAGCAGGCAATCAAAACACTCTCCCGCCATGGTTGGCCTCCATGGGTCAGGGCACATGCCAGGGATGTGGGCCAGGTCCCCCTTGGGGGGGCACATGAGGGGCAACCACACATTTATGTTTCTCTCTCTCTCTCTTTCACCCTTCCATCTCTCTAAACAAATAAATATATCTCTTTTAAAAGTTCGCTCCTGTTAGCAATGCTTGCCAGGAAGACCTGGGCGCATGCCTGCACAGCGTGTCTGTGCCCCGTGGCTCCCCCTGCACACTCCACTTGTGAATTTATCGTCCCTCATTGTCCCCCTTCCACTCTGAGAACAATGAAATACTAATGGTAACCGGCTCTTGTCTGTAACTAACTCGAAGCTTGTTTCCCTACCAGGGACGAGCCCAGGGGTGGGATCCAGACCCTCTGCCCACCCTCCACCCGCGGGCCTGGGAACACTGGACAGGGCCCTCCCTGGCCTGGCCCGCTGCCCACCGGCCTCCAGCACAGCCTTCTTGGCGATGATGTTGACGGCAGCCGTGCAGACAGGCTCCGCGTAGAAGCGGCCAGGCTCCGCGATGACTTCGACGCCAGTCCCCTCGGGGAAGTCCCGGGCCAGGGCAGCGCGGATCACTGTCACTATCTGTGGGGACAGAGCCAAACCCTGTGAGGCCGGCTCCTCTCGGGGTCCTTACCTGCGTCATCCTCGGCATTCCTGTGGGAAGGTACCATCATCCCCGTTTCATTGGAGGGAAACAGGTGGAAAGTTCGGCCCAGAGGGACGCTGTCCCGGGGCACACAGCCAGTGTGTGAGCTGCAGCGCCCTGAGCGTCTGAACTTGGAGCCGTCCATGTCAACACAGGGTCAGCAAGAGCGACTGTGCCCTGGTCATGGGTAAACTTCTATCTGACGGCAGCTCTAGCAAAGACAACAACCAGCACATCTAAGGAAGGCGCGGAGCCACACGCACCCGTGCCGGTCCGTGCTCACAGGCCTCGTGTGTGGGCCCCGTTTGCTGAGGGACCGCTCAGCAAACCAACCCCAGCTCCTCGCAGGCACACGACTCAGTTACCAGAGTGCCCTGTACACAAACCCCATGCTGTCCGCTAGACTCCTCTCCTCCTCCCCTCTTACCTCCTCAAACATAGGCTGGGAGCCCTCCGCTCCCGGGAACCCGCCTCCAATATCCAGGAGGTTCATTTCGTGCCCGACCTCGCGGCCCATCTCAAAGATGCGCCGGCAGTCGGCGATGGCCTGTGTGAAGATGTGGGCATTCCAGCAGTTCGAGCCCACGTGGAAGCTGGACACATGTCGAGTGACCGGTGGGGAACACACAAGGAGACCAAGGTCAGAAGGAAGGGACACACATTCGGAAACACCCACACAAGCCCACTGAGGAACCCACACAGGTACGGACGCTGCAACGGGAGGGACTGCCCCGGAGCCCACGGGCACCTGCCGAAACCGCAACCTTGGCTGTGCATGACACCCCCACATGACAGTCCTTGAGTTGGGGCTCTTGTGCTTGCGCACTGGTCACCATTCTTAGCTGCCCCCTCCCAAAGCCTTATGACTGGGGATCCCTGCCTTGATTAAAAATTATGACATTCTCTCACCATGGACTTTTTCTGCATTAAACTTTTCAAAATACTGTATTAAAATGTTATTTCCCTTGAGTATGAAGTTCTTTGCATCCCGTTAAATTTTGCATTCAAGGCCAGCATTGCTCACCTGCCTGCCCCACCCCCACAGCGGGTAATGGCCCCCTGCTTTGCTGAGGACCGATGAACAACCGGAGGCCCGGACAGAGGGGGCGCAGTGACCACGGCCCAGAGTAAGTCAAAGGCATGGGTGGTCGGGCGGCACAGAGGAAGCAGGAAGAGGAAGCCAGTGCTCTTACCTGGCTCCAACCACAGCCAATCCCAGGTCTCGGGCCAACCTGAGCAAACGTTCACACATTTCCAGTCTGGCCCCAAACTTGGCGCTCAGAGGGAAGATGCTCGTTTTGTCCTCCGTCCAGAGCCGAAGGACCAGCCTGGGAGAGGGGTGTGAGGGTGACAGGAGTTCTTAGACACGGTCCCCGAAGCCTGAGTGCTTTGCCGCCCCCCAACCAAACTCTCTCCGCCCTCCCACCCACCCTTGTCTGGCTCCGCACACTCCAGCCACCAATCCCAAGGAGGAAACACACCACCACTTAGAGACTTCAGCCCAGGCAAGAAGGAGCAGGATAATGACATAATTATGAGCATCCCTCGGGCAGATCTGCTGCTAGGGGATCAGAAATGTTAGACAGCTTTCCCAAAAACACACCAAAGTGACAGACAGGTCAGGAACATAAGCCCTGGTCTCCCCGACCCCAGCTTTTCCCATGAGGTTGCCTGACCCCAGACCTCCTGACGCCAGGCTCCACCAAGTGACTGTGCAGACATAGGCCATGTTTATTTGACACCAGTGAGCCCCAGGGAAGGCACTAGGCCACCTAACCCAAATTCTGGTACTTTGCTACTTGGGCCTCTCCTGGTCACCGCATGTAACAGCCTTCATCTAGTTTGTGAGGCCAGGGTAGTTGCCAGAGCCCCAGGCTTTCTGTCCCTTGCTCCGCCTGTCCCCCTCCTGCCTGCAGTGACCCTGCTGGTCTCACCTGGCCCCAGGGTGGTGCTGGGCCACCTTGGCCAGCTCCTCCTCACTGTCGAAGGTCAGGAGCTGCACCCCGTGGCAGGCAGCATACTGGAGACAGGAGACGGACTTGTAGGGGTTGGCGTAGATGATGCGTGAGGGGGCCACGCCCAGGCTCAGAACCTGCTCCAACTCCACCTGGCACGGTGACAGCCACAGTGAGCCTCTGCTTTCCCGCTGCCCGGCTGTTTGCGTACAGGCGCCAAGGCCTGAGGGGCGGCCCTTGACTGAGCCCCTGCGCTGCGCCCGGCACAGCTCTGGGCTCACATTGTGCTATTAAATAGCTTCCGGACAATTCTAAGGAACATAGAGTTGACTACTTCTAGAGACAAAGAAACTGAGACGTAGGTGAAATGGCTGGGCCCGTGGGGTCTGTCGCTGAAAACAGGTGTTCCTGCCACTCACTGGCTCACACTGACTGCCCTCGCCACCCAGACCCGTGGAAGGTTGGCCACTGGTAGCTCATTCATTTATTCTTGCACCGACAACTGAGCACCACGCACATTCACCGTGGTTTAGAAGGGCTGCGGTCCCCACTCCAGGACCCCTGGCAATCAGCCTTTTTTTTTCCCCTCAAGAAGTGTCAGGCCTTTGAATGAGGCAAGTGGCAGTGGGCCCAGGCTCACCTGGCTGGCACAGTCGAAACCGGTGCCCAGAGCAGCCAGGACACGCAGCACCCAGGGGCTGCTGTTACACTTCACGGCGTAGAAGGGCGAGACCCTCGGCAGGGCCTGGCAGAAGGCCCGATGGCGGCTGGCCAGCACACCCAGGTCGGCCACCATGAACGGATCTCTGTGGTCCTGCCAGGACAGAGGGAGAGGGAGGGAGGACTGGGCGTTGTGTCATCTCACCGAATCTGCATGCAGTCCCCATGCAGTTAAGTGCTATTATTATTATTGCCAGTGCAGAACAAAGGAAACAACGGCTCTGAAATATGATTCCTTCCTTTAGGCACGTGGCAAAGATAGGATTTGAGCCCCGATCTTCTGACACCAGGGAGATAAGCGGGCAGCCATCTTTGTGGACAAAAATGGGGACCAGGACAGCTCCAAACCTCCGCTAGGTGGCCCGGCACAGGGTGAAATCCTAAGTGGTGACTGGGGACTAGAACAGGACATAAGGACTGTCCCATGATCCCCAGAGAACAGAGCCTTGGAGTACGACCTAGCAAGTCACCTTATAAAACCACAAACAGGTCTCCCTTTGTGTTCACACAAGTGGTGACCGAGACACCCGCTCCACTCTCCACTACTCCGTTCCATCCCTCCCCAGCCCTCCGCTCCCCTCCCCTGCCCTCTGCTCCATACCGAACTGGAGAGCGCCCGGATCTTCTTCAAGACCACCTCCCTGGCGGACTCCCCAGGCCCCAGGGGGATGATCTCTTCAGGCCAGGCGCTTCCAGCAGGCGCTGCGCTCTCCTTCTCATCCACGAGCAGGGCACTCATCTCTGACTCTCCACCAGAGCCCTCTGCCAGGCACAGCACCAGCTTTCTGGAAAGGACTTGCCTTGAGGACCCAGCACACCCACTCCTCCCATTTCCTCCTCGTCCCCTGAGCCAGTGTTCCCAGGCCAGTAAGTCCATTCAGCCACCTAGAGCTCTGTGGAGCAGCTTGTAAACCTTCCCATCTATAGGATGGACCGCCTGGGCCAACCAGCATCAGTGACCTAGTGCAGGACCAAGCAAGATGCTCAAAACGTGCGTGCATAACAGATGGTCAGCATCCCTCTCCAGGCTGCTTCACCCAAGTGTGCCCATTGACAGACAAGAAAAGTGGCCCTTGAGGACAGGGTGCAAGATCTTAGATTGGAGGGCTGGCTGGAACCTGGGGGATAATCTAGTCCAACATCCCACATTTCTCACGGGGACAAATGACCCAGAGAGAAGAAAGGACTTGCCCAAGGTCACCAAGTGATCAGTGGCAGAGCTAGAACTGGTGCCTGGACTCTGCGGAGCAGTCACTGGACCTAAGTAAGGCTGGACACCATCCCTGAGACTGAAGTAAGGGCAGCCTGAGGCCAAAGTCCTTCTGCTCCAGCCACTGGGTAGCATCCATGGCCTCCACTTCACACCCAGGCTGCCTGGTGCCGATGGCGACCTGCTTCCTTAGGCACAGCCCAGGGGACATCCTGGGTGTCCTGGGCTTCCAGTAAATCCCTGTGTCAAAACGGAACTCAGATGGGGGGAGGAGGTACAGAAAATAAGTAGCATAGACAGTAGATAGAAAATAGATGGGGGGGCAAGAATAGCATGGGAAATATAGAACCTAAAGGACTTGGGACACATGGACATAAACTAAAGGGGGGGTAATGGTGGGGATGGGGGGCAGGGTGGAGGGGAATGAAGGGGGGAATAGAACAACTGTAACAGCATAATCAATTTTTAAAAATAAATTAAAAAAAAAAAAAAAAACGGAACTCAGCCCAGATCTCAGGGACAGAGGAAGTACCTCTGCAGGTTGCTCCCCCAAACCTTGGTTAACCCTGACCACTCGGCCCAAACCTCCCAGGCCCTTGGTGGTCCACACAATAGGCCCAAGGGTGAAGTCAGACTCCTGTTATAAGAGAACAACACCAGCCACAACCAGAGTAGAGGGGCACTGGAAGCCCCGTCAGCCACCCGTCCCACCTCAGAGATGTAAAGGCTGTGGGGCTCAGAGACCTTCAGATGGTTCCGCAAAGCAGGAGTGGAGCTAGGAGCAAAACCCAACCTCAGGCTGCAGTCATGGGCCAGCTCCACCACCCCGAGCAGGAGACGGTCTCTCCCACAGCACATCTCTGCCTCCGCTGCACATTTAAATGCCTGGCTGGGAGTTCCTCTGATTGGGAAAGTGAGCCTTCTGTGTCATCACTTGGTGCTCAGTAACACCCCCCCCCCCACCGCCTCCCTTCCCCACAGGGGTTGCTGAGGTCTTACCCTATGACCTGCTGGGCCACCCAGGATCAAGCCACCACCTTGGGGCAACCCCACCTCTGGGGTGTCAGTCACCGTTGGCTCCTGTAGGCTTACACCCCACCCAGAGCCTCCAGTTCCTGTTTCTGGAAGGAAGACCAGCAGGCATCTGCTGCTGTCCTGACCCTGCTCCTCGGTCAGCCCTGCCCCCGCGTCTTCCCGCCTGCAGCCTCCAGCCCTGTCCCCTCCCAGCGGGGTCCCACCTCCCACCTGACCACCCTCCTCCGGGTGTGGGGGCTTGAAAGGAAGTGCAACAGAAACGGCCTGGATAGGAGGGAGGGACTCGGGAAACCTGGTGCAAAGCCTTTAACCTTCAGGGGCCTCATAAATTCGTCTGAGAATGATAGGAGGCGAGAAAGAATGAGCAAAGGAAGGCCTTCTGGTCTATGATCCCAAACAAAATGGTAAAGTCCGTGACTTTCATAGAGAGCCACAGCAACACCTGTCCCACATCGGTTCACGTCACCTGACTTCTCTAGCTCTGTCTCATAGGTGTGTAAGGTTTTGGGGTAGATGGCCTCCTGGGCCTCCATGTCATCATCTGCCACATGGGGTGAGGGATAGTGTCCACAATACCTCACAGGCGGCTGCGAGGACAAAATGAGATGAAACAAGATAACGCCTGCAAGGAACTTAGCCATGTGTCAGCATGTGATAGCAATCACACTAAGTCAACAGCAACTGACATGACCAAGCCCTAAGTTGCAGGCACAATGCTAAGTGCTTTCTTCGCATGGGTAACTCAGTCTGTCTTCATGGCAGTGATCAGGAAGGTTCTACAAGGGCCAGGTGCACAGTCTGTGGGAGGCAGGACCAAACAATTCCATGTTAGATAGGCAAATGTAAGGAATTGCAACACTAGCCCCAGGGTGAGCTCGGTGTCTGGATTAAGGGTGGCCCAGAAGCTCCTGCTGAGTCACCAGCCAGACCTGCTGCGGTGCTGCTGGCCCCGGAGAGGAGCTGCTGCCGACCAGCCCTGCCCCGAGAAGCTGCGGGGCCCCAAGTCTGACCCCAGCTTCTTGAGTCCAGGTGAATCCATGTAGCTAGAGCTGACCCAGCCCAGATCCGCACAAAGGGGGGGCCCAACCTAGACCCCACCCCCTCAGGCCCCAAGCCAGGGTAAGTCACCTACCTGGGGCTGCCCAAAATGAGGGGTGCACAGGGGGATCTCGGACTCCTGCTGATATGAGGCCATCAGAGCCGTGTCTGAGCCAGAAGGCACCTGACTCCTTCGAACCCTCCCCTCCCACCCTGCGGCGGGAAAGCTGACAGGTTCGGGCAGGAAAACAGGGCTGCAGGTCTTCCAGCAGGTTGGTGGCAGCAGGCCGGCCTTGGCCCACCCCTGCGCCCCGTAGAGCCTGAGTCGGTTCTGGTTCTGCTGCCCTAGAGCAGGGGTTGTCCTTTCCCCATATGGAAGTTTAAATATTTCTATGGGTGTAAATATTTCACTGGAAGCCTCCCCAACTGGGAAAGTCACCTGCACCCCATAGTCTGTGGGGCTGGACCGCACCCTCCCCTCTTCCTACGCCCCTGCTCCCACCTGTGCCCCCCTCTTACTGTCACTCCCTCTATGTGCAGGCTGTCAGGGGTCACCCTGTTACCTTGCTGACCCCTCCTAACTGCCTCTACCAAACTGGGCAGCCCCTCCGCCTGCAGGCTGGCCCCCTCCCTGTGGGCCTCCAGCTGTCCTGACGTTGCCTGGGGAGAGGGCGTCCAGGAAAACTGCAGGCTGAGTCTCTGGGCCTGCCCAGCCCAGGCCAGGGTGGGACGGTCCTAAAGGTTTCAGGGGCAGAACCCAGGTGCTCAGCCCTTCTACCCGGGGGCAGCTTGAGGAGGAAGACACTGTGTCCCCTGAATTAAAAAAGGCATTCGGGGGTACAAGTTAGCTTAGGAGGGATATCGGTTAGGGTGGTGGTGAATATAATGTCATTACTGAATGCTTACTCACTACCAAGTACTGTGCTAGGCATCCAGACACTCACAAAACCTATGGGTGTAGTTGAAGTATCTCACAGGTAATGAATCCAAGGCACTGAGAGGCAGGATAATAATAGACTCTACTTAACAGGATCACAGAGAATGAATGACATAATGCACGTAAAGCCCATATCTAATACCTTCATGTCACTGGTTAAGAACTCATTAAACTAGTTCATAATAATAATGGCACGATAAGGAACTTAGATTTTTAAACTTTTGTCTTAAACCAGGGATTTTTAAATGTTTCTCTTAAAACTAAAATATAGGCTTATAGTAAATATTCGTCATATGTTATGGATACCTAGCATTTCTGAGCACTCCTTCGCTGAGTCCCTCCCCACCCCCACACTGCGTGGGGGCAACAAACCAGCCTTCCCAGACTGCCTTGCAGCCGGCATGTGTGAGAAGGTGGCCTGGGCTCCGGCCTGGGCTCCAGCAGAGTCATTCGAAGGCATGAGCACCAGCTGCTACTATAAAAGTGACTGTAGCAGGAGTGTGAGTAGTGGTGAAATAGTAGTTAATAAAATTCTTGCATGTTCTCACCTCAAATGAACTTCTCATTGGAAGGAGGGCTTTTGAGACCAAATGTTTGCTGCCATAGAATGGCATGAAAAGCATGGATTGGGGGCAGAGTGACTTCTGACTGTCCTGTAGAATTTAGAGACATAAAAGGGTAAGCTCAGAGTCATATTTTATTGGCACAAGATATGGCCAAAGAATCAGGAACTTTCTATGAGTGAACTATGAAGAATCCACCACCTCTTGCCACTGAAGAGATAAAGCCAATAACTAAAACTAAAATCAAACTTTGAGAGTAGAAGTTGCCACAACTTACTTTGCACACACACAAACACGCACAAAATCAAATGGTCAACAAGCACATGAAGATATACTCAACGCCATTAGTCACCAGAGAAATGCAAAATAAAACCCCAGTGAGACACTGCTCACCCTCACTAGCATGGGGAACAGTAAAGAGGTGGGCAGCACCGAGCGTGCTGGCAAAAGTAGAGCAGCTGGAATTGGTAAGGCCACTTGGAGAACCTCTTTGGCAATATTTTCTAAAGCTGAATGTATACTTAACTTATGCTCAGCAATTTCACTTATACATGTCTAAGGTCTGTCTGGAAGAAGTCCAGCCATTATTATCAATAATGAGAACAGTTTGCACAACATTAATGTAAACTGGCAGCCAAGGAGAGTGGACTGGAATGTGTGTGTGTGAACAAGGATGATTTTACTGTACCAATCAGTGGGGCCAGTAGATGCCACAGAGTGAGCCCGTGTGCTGTGCGATGTAACATCCAAAATGACTGAGCGAGTAGAGCAATGAATCTGCATCAAATTTTGGGTTAAGCTTAAACATTCCTCCGCGGAAACTATTTGGATGACTTAAAAGGTTTTTGAAGATGATACAATGAGTGCAGCGCAAATAAAAGTGTGGCACAAACGCTTCAAAGATGGCCGAGAATCTGTTGAAGGTGACCCACGTTCTGGAAGGCCTGCGACAAGCAGAACACCTGAGAAAGGTGAACGTGTGCGCGCTGCTATCAG